GACAAGTAAAAATATCAAAATATTTTTGAGTAATTTATTCCCGATTGGTCAGAGGAAAGTAAGAGACATGCTATAAAACGATAAAAAAACCCAATGTAATCACTCAATGAATATCATGAAAGAAGTCAAACCGTTCGGTTGGAATATGTAGATGAATCTAACATGGACAAGGCTAAACCGAATAAAACAAGAAGCGGATTAGCATTGAAGCATATGGCAGTGGGTTGAGAAAATTGCCCTTATCAAAATAAGTGATATGTATATGATACACAAATTTACACAATATGGAAGGGCATAGATTTCTGGACATGAAAGAGCTAGGTCACAGCCACTCAAGTATATTCTTAAATGAAGTAAATTATCTCTCGAGCTAAAAATTTAACTCAGCTGGTGAATGCAGCAAACACAGCCCACATGGTTTCACAAGAGCCGTCTTTCGCTGCTTCAGTATAATAATCCATGTCCAGAAGTGTTTTTATTCGCTTCATCGAAATAGAATAGTCTGCATCAGAGAGAGTGCTAAAGGCATTTTCTAAGACGTCAGAATGGTGTGATAATATGACAAGTGACAGAAGGCGCTTTTCAATTTTTTGAGGATCGTTAGTCCATCGACTAAGCATTGCTTCTTGTACCCTACGAATGACACGTTGCTTGACTTGTGAATCGACTAAAGGATGAGTGGTAAGATCAAACAGAACAAAATTCTGCTTCTCCGTGGTGCAAACACCTTTTTCTGCCAAGCTTTTAGCAAGCCGTTCTCTAACATTCCTTATCTGTAGGGAGAGCTTGAAGGGATTCCATGTTTCACCTAAGAAAAATATGAGAATAACTAAGACCTACCGCTAAGGTACTCAATCCACGTTTTTGCATTTTCTGGATAATTAGACTTTATATTCTTTAAAGCTTCATCTAATAGAACGTCTCCAGTAGGGACATCCTTTTTAACAATTATTTTTCGAGAAAGCAACGCTTTCATTCGCATTCCAGCGGGTTCAAGACCAATTCTATCCCTAAGTGCAAGTTCAATTAAAAAAGCAGCTCTAAGACCGCAGCATATGCTATCGTTCCAAAAGGAGGTATAACCCTACTAATGAGAAAGGTCAAAAACTAACCTCACGATCTTTGAGTCCTAAGAGAAGAATCTCTTCCATTAAAGTTAAACGCGTCTCTTTTGAATCATTTTCATCTGTAGCATCACCTAGATCACTACGCTTTATTGTAGCAGAATTTTCGGATTCATAAGAGTGAACATTTCTTCGAGAAATAACAATACCATCATCATCCTGGAACATAGCAGAAAAGAATACAGCAAAAGTAAATTATAAATAGCGCCTAAA